GATAAGAGAAGAGTGTGGTTTGCAAGATGATGTTGTGACCAGGATTAAGAAAGGAATGCTTCGGTGGTTTGGTCATGTGGAAAGAATGGATGAGGAAAGAGTGACAAAGAAAATTTATGTTGCAGAAGTGAATGGCAGAGTCGGAAAGGGACGTCCTAGGCGAAAATTTATCGACCAAATTGGCGATTTATTGAAAACGGGCCAAATTAGGAGTACCCTTAACCGACGAGCATGCATGCGTAGGTGTATGGATGTGAAGGAGGCGAGAGAGGTGTGTCAGGATCGTGCCAAATGGAAGTCTGTAGTCTCTGCCTACCCCTCTGGGTGACAGGCGTGAGTGTTTATGTTTATGTATGTTTATGTAGAAGAGGAAAGAGAACAACAAAATACAAGCATAAATTGTCTAAATGGTAGTTATGATTACAAAGAACCATAAAATTGTAGCTTCATTCGTTTTCTGGGCAATAAAACGATCTGCTATCTGTACTATAAGCGATAGGGTAGGTTTGCAAGACTAAGCTAGCAGTAAAATAAACATTTTCATATTTTAGTCATTGTGTCACTGATCCATAAATCATTAAAATGAGCCTGGACATATTATTATTTGATATATCAATAATAGCATTACCTATTCAATATATATATATGTTTAAATGACTTCTCTTTGTCTATACCTCCGATCTTTTAAGACCATTGGCAAAATGTAGCTTCATCCAAGAAGTCTTAGGCTCAATCAAAAAAAAATTAGACTCAATCTTTTGTTGGACATATTCGAGTTTCATTGGCGGCGATAATCACATAAATCAGGTGAGCCGTATGCTCGTTTACCCCTGCTCATATATAAAAAAAAAAATCTGCCGCTGCTGGAAACACAGGCCTGTCTGTTCGTCGTAAAACGTCCATTTGATCTAACTTCTATTTTTCCGAGGTACATCTGCAGAGGTTACTAATCATCTCAAGCTTATCGGCATACATTTGAGTGCTAATCTGACCTTTGGCGCTAACAACGAGTCAAAAGCACAAAAAACTGGATACTCAAAACAAGGTGAAGCGATACTTCACGCCTTAACAGCTTCTAACATAATACAAAGCTCAAGTCCGAACATGCATGGAGTATTCTAGTCACTTTAAGGTGACTCAGCAAAATATTAACTTGCTGTACTCGACTCAGTGGAATTAAAAACCAAGAGTCTTATCTGTGTTTGTGTGGAAACTTATCTCACCACCGCCAGGTTGCTTATTTGTCGATCTTCTACAGTTTGTACTTGGGAGATTGTGCCTATAAGCTTCGTAGACTCAAACCGCCATCTTCATTCTCCTATCCGAGTACAAAGCTTACTGCAGGATACCATCCACACTTGTTTCATCTTTTATAATACGCACAGCCCAGGAGTGAAATACACTTCCAGCCTTTATATTTTCGAGTGCGTATAACTTGAACTTCTGTATGGTGGTTGTGAACAGGTTTCTCCTGTCCAAACTCGCTCCATTGTAGTCCTCATTTTAACCCTCGAGCTAGATAAATGTCCAAAGTGAGTTTTGTAACGCTCAGATAGTACGTTTTACCATCTAGGGCTTCATTACCACATACTACAAGGTGAGATTGTAGTCAGTTACTTGGTTAAAATAAGAAAAAAAAGTACCGATTTATTGTCCAGTAAACGTAGATGATTCTGAATATCACGTTTCCAATTCAGATGTTTTAATAAAACGCTTTTGAAAACTATTTATAAAATCGTATTCGTTTTAACTTATATACGTTTACATACCTAAAGAAATTTATCTTGTTTTATTATTACTGTATTTTCGTGGCAGCCACGGTACGGTCATGACTTGCGTGGTTTCCGTTGCACAGATGGAGATAGAACTTGCCTACGTTTTTCTTTTACGAGAAGGTGCTGCGCACGAAGCTTTACAGTAGCGGTGTGCTAATAGTGTTATTAAAAATAAGCTAAAAATTCTATGAAACCTAATTGTTGTATACTGTTTCTTACTTGACTATACATTATGTATAGGTTATTATTCAATATTCTGTTAACATTATTTTTAGGGTATGAGAATTTTTAGAGAATATCAATATGTGAAATTATCAAATAAAGAGAAAATGAACCAATAGTTTTCTTGTTACATTGTGCGCCTAGGTATTAAAAACTGCAATAAAATAAAAAATGATTTTAAATTTGTATTTATTAATTTAATTATTACGTTTCTCAAAACATTACACATTTATTTATTTTAATTTAAAATAACTGCATCATTATTATCGCTAAAATATTAGTAATACAAATAATATATAAAATTTTTAACAGTAATAAAACACTAACATTTCTGCATTTAAAACAAAATAATTTCAAACATCTATATGCAGATACTACGCTTTTTTAAACAATATCGATTTATACAGAAGATCATAATGAAAACTTATTATTACGGATGAGTAAATAAAGAAATATAGTGATACAATTATTTTTAAAATAATATGCATGTTAACTATATATTATATAATAGTTTGTCACATTACAACTATGTGTCACTGAAACGGGGAAGATGCTGTAGCCTGTAACACAGTTTTCAACTACCACGGGCTACAGAGCTTCAATATGATTTGTTTGTAAAAGTTATGTGAGAAACAATAAATTATTATTATTATTATTATTATTATTGGGGTATCTATATAATTTTCTCACCTGGTTGGGTTCTATAAATATATAATTATAAGTTAAAATGAAAAGATAAATATACATAAATATCAATAAAATAGAGTAAATACAAAAACTACATAAATAAATAAGATCCAACCAGATGGGAGCCCTCGGCAGGGGAGACCGATTATTATTATTATTATTATGTGGGGTATCTATATAGCTTTCTCATCTGGTTGGGATGTATAAATATATAATTATAAATGAAAATGAAAAGATAAATATACATAAATATCAATAAAATAAAATAAATACAAAATACATAAATAAATAAAAGCCCAACCAGATGGAAGCCCTCGGCAGGGGAGACCAAACGGCCAAGGGTTAGGGGGAAAGGGAAAGAAACCGGCGGACGATGCGGGCAGTATCAAGGAGCACCGCCGCCATTTGAGCCCGGAGTGGTCCGTCACGGAGTCCCAGTCGCCTCAGATGACCAGAGAGGCTAACTGGGATTAGCACATTCGCAGAGACGACTACAGGAATAATTTCGGTCGGCAGACCACCCCACATGTCGATCACCTCGTGAGCCAGGTCCAGATATTTTGATTGCTTATTTGTTTCGGCTTTCACGAGGTTCTCGTCATACGGGATGGTAATATCGACCAAAAATATCCTTGACTGTGCTAGGTCCATCAGCACAATATCAGGCTTATTCGCAAGAATAGTCCTGGCTGTGATGATGGCCCGGTCCCTGTAGAGCCTGGCTCGGTCATTTTCGAGCACGGCTTCCGGAAAGTACTTGTAATACGGCAATTTCCGGTCCACGAGACCGTATTTCAGAGCGAGCTCCTGGTGTAGAATTCTGGCTACTAGGTTGTGCCTGTGCAAATACTCAGAGTCAGAAAGCGCCGAACAACCGGAGATGACATGCCTAAGTGACTCACCGGGATGCCGACAAGCTCGACAGACGTTGACGGTGCCATCCTTTAGGATGTATCACCGATAGTTGTTGGTCTTAATAACCTGATCCTGTATTGCACAGACAAAACCCTTGGTTTCTCGCAAGAGGTCACCGAAACGTACCCAGTTGAGGGAGGCAACTGTATCTACGAAGGGCTCATGAAGAGCCCTGTAGTACCTCCCGTGGAGCTCCTTCTCCTTCCATACGGTCTCCCGGTCGGAAATGCTAAGCACTGCTGGGTCTTGCCATTGCTCGTCGGCTAAGGATAGAGGGGTAAGCCCTTTATCACTAGAAATGACGTCATTATAGAATGGATCATCCGATCTCGCCAGGAAGTAATCACGGAGGCTGCACACTTCGCGATTATGCATGGTGAGCGCGCTCAGAAAACTACGCCCACCATGCTTTCGCGGCAAGTACAGCCTCATTACCGACGATCTCGGATGATGCATCCTATGGGACGTCATGGTAGTGCGGACTTTTCTATCCAGGGCGTTAAGTTCGGTCTGAGTCCACCTGAGTATGCTAAAGGTATATATGAGGACAGGCATGACCCAACCGTTATATGCGTGTGTCTTATTCGCATCGGACAAAAGGCTGTTAAGCAATTAGGTCAAGCGTGCATAAAACACGTCGCAAACTGACTGTTTCATACCAGGCTCATCGATACCGATTTTCTGTCACATACCAAGGTATCGGTATGTTTCAGCCTCGGAAAGGGTCTTTAAGTTGACGGGCATAGATAAATCTATGCCCTCATAGTTAGCAACCCTTCCCTTTTCAACATGAAGGACCGAACACTTATCCGTCCCCAGCTCCATTCCAATAGAATTGCTAAATTCACAAGTGATGTTTAGCAATTCCATAAGATGGGAGCGACTGGAGGTGAATAACTTGAGGTCATCCATATAGAAAAGGTAGGTCACTTTTGTTCCTCCCTTCCGTAGCTGAAATCCTCTCCCGGAGCCCTCTAGTAAGGTACTGAGAGGGTTCAGAGAGAGGCAGAACCAGATTGGACTCAGAATATCGCCCTGGAAGATACCCCTTCTTATCTTTATGTGGTTCTCCGCAGCCATCATCCGCTCACCCAGATAACAGAGGATCGTACTCCACTGCCCCATAGACTGCTCGAGGAAGTCTCTAACTGTACAGTCAATCTTGTACAGCTCGAGGACCCTCCTTAGCCATGTATGGGGCACCGAGTCGAATGCTTTTCTGTAGTCAATCCAAGCGGCGGAAAAGTTCCGACGGTTGTATTTCACCACTTTGCCAATGACCGCGTCAATGAGGAGTGGTTCTTTGGTTCCACGACCACCGCCCCATACATCCATTTTGAGCGCGTGACATCACCTGTTTCAGCTCAAAGTGACGAGTAATTCTCGCGCTCAAAATGGGTGTCAGTGTCTTATATATAGTGGGTAGACACGTGATGGGGCGGTATTTGCTCGGGTCTGTGGTATCGTGATCTTTAGGAACCAAGTGAGTGATCCCAGTAGTGAAGAGGCTCGGGAGCGACTTCTGATCGAGAGCCTCTTGATACTGTCGGCGAGCACAGCGTGACACACTACGAACCCCTTCAGCCAGTAATGATGCAGCCCGTCGAGCTCCGGACTTTTCCAGTTCGGGGACCTACGGACCGCCTCAGCTACGTCATCCGGCGTTATGGTGACGGGATCCATGGGCGTAATACCCGTACACTGACTCACCACAACTTCCGTCCAAGGGCCCTCGTTGTGGTTTACGGGCTCTGACCACAGGCTGCGCCAGAATGCGACCGTGTCGGCCTGATTTGGTGATGCGCCCGTTCCACTTACTATTGGTCGCTCCAATGATTTGTTGAGCCTCTTCTGATCACTCTGGAAGAGACGATTCTGGTTGAACCGTGTCGACCTCTCGGTATATCGCCGAATTCGCTTTCCCCAAGCAGCGATTCTTTGCTTCACGTCGTCTATGCGCTCCGTCAGTTTTTGCGTTATATCCGGCTGGGACAAACTAACATTTGTCCCAGCAAACGCCATCCTGACGGTGCGCACAATCCTTGGCCTGGTATTGCCTGACCTGAAGCATATCAGTCTGCCGATGAGGGCCCTAGCCCTTGCGATACGTTCTTCAATTCTGATTCTCCAGGCTGGGATAGCACTACTTTGTCCAGTAGCGCGTCCAGCCTTGGAAAGTGTGGCACCTATAATACGGCAGACTGCCAGTGCGGCGCCAAAAAGAATTGAGTCCGTCTCGAAAAGGTCCCGGCTGGCTTCCGAGTAGGTAACCAGCATTGGGTTCAGAGCCCTCACGACAGCCCGATTCCGCTTGCTTAGGGCTAAGCGGGGGAAGTCGCGGTTGATTTTCGAGAGGCGTACTGCGCGTTTCCACAATCGCCTCCTCCAATGTACTCCTCATTTGCTCTAGTTCCAGTTCCTGGGCGACTGTTCCGTCATCGTTTGAATCAACCACAACTGGTGTATTCACGGCGGCATCCACATTTGCCGTTTGCTCAGCAAGTTGTGGCGCCGCACGCCGCAGCATTTTCAACCGATGATGGAACAGCCTCACGTCGTAGCTGTTCGAGTTCGGTAACATCAAATGTATCTCAGCGCAAGATATACCGAACTCGGTCTGCCAGGTTTTGCTCGGTGACGGTTACAGATGGCTCCAGCTCAGCAAAAAGTCGATGCATCCTTGCCCAATACGCAAAACCTCCAGTTTCTCCCCCTTTCGCCCAAAAATACGCCCGCAATGCGTTGCTGTTCATCTGGGTTGTCCAACGCATGCGGCGTACTCCACCAGAGGCGGGTGCCGATTGCTGGGCCCGCGAAGACCCTGCCGACACCAAGCCAGCTGGTGGGGATGATGGATGCGAGGGGCTGCTGGGTGGTCGTGCAGCACCTCGCGCTCGGCTGGCGGTTCGCATGCTGTCGCGTCCAGCGCCAGCTCCAGACGCGCCCTGGCGACCTCCAGGCAGCGGCCCTTTGCGCGTTCTATTTAATTCCATCATCCATTTCTAGGGCGTCATTTAGCGGGAGTCGCCCAGACCCGGCGCCGTTTCATGGTGAGGCCATGTGCACAAGCGGGCCTTTACACCTTCAATTTTTGCCGAGGCATGGCACTAACACCTCTTGGCAAGGTGCTGACTGACTGCGCTGACGTAGCGGTTTTGTCACATAACCGTTACGTCAGCGGGCGATGGGGTCGTCACTTCCCTACGCCTTTTTATTATTATTATGTGTGGGGTATCTATATAGTTTTCTCATCTGGTTGGGATGTATAAATATATAATTGTAAATGAAAATGAAAAGATAAATATACATAAATATCAATAAAATAAAATAAATACGAAAATACATAAATAAATAAAAGCCCAACCAGATGGAAGCCCTCGGCAGGGGAGACCAAACGGCCAAGGGTTAGGGTGAAAGGGAAAGAAACCGGCGGACGATGCGGGCAGTATCAAGGAGCACCGCCTTCTGCATTTGAGCCCGGAGCGGTCCGTCACGGAGTCCCAGTCGCCTCAGATGACCAGAGAGGCTAACTGGGATTAGCACATTCGCAGAGACGACTACAGGAATAATTTCGGTCGGCAGACCACCCCACATGTCGATCACCTCGTGAGCCAGGTCCAGATATTTTGATTGCTTATCTGTTTCGGCTCTCACGAGGTTCTCGTCATACGGGATGGTAATATCGACCAAAAATATCCTTGACTGTGCGCGGTCCATCAGCACAATATCAGGCTTATTCGCAAGAATAGTCCTGTCTGTGATGATGGCCCGGTCCCAGTAGAGCCTGGCGCGGTCATTTTCGAGCACGGCTTCCGGCAAGTACTTGTAATACGGCAATTTCCGGTCCACGAGACCGTATTTCAGATCGAGCTCCTGGTGTAGAATTCTGGCTACTAGGTTGTGCCTGTGCAAGTACTCAGAGTTAGAAAGCGCCGAACAACCGGAGATGACATGCCTGAGTGACTCCCGGGATGGCGACAAGCTCGACAGACGTCGACGGTGCCATCCTTTAGGATGTATCTCCGATAGTTGTTGGTCTTAATAACCTGATCCTGTATTGCACAGACAAAACCCTCGGTTTAAGCATAGGAAAATACTGAACAGTAACTACCAGGACGACCTTATTTGAGGCATTAGTATTATAACCTTTTAATTATTGCGATACCGCAAATAGCCTACGACGGTATGAGAAACCAAGAATGGCAATTCAACGCGTTCAAAACAAATTTTTGCTTTAACGTCCTAAAGAGAGCCCATATTACTCCATATCATAATCAAAACAATATTTTAAAAATGGACGCACGTAAAAAATCAACTCGGTTTGCTTAGTTCGCAAAATTATTAGTAACAAAAGTTCATTTTTTTATACAATTAATTAGATTCCAATAAGAATATCCATGAAGTAAATACACGTAAAAATGCCTCAAACGTGCTAAATATTTCATGCCATAAGAAAATAAACTTCAAAGGATATTTTACATACTCGACCGCAAAAATATGGAATAATTTACCACCGTCCATAAAAGAAAATTTTAATTTTACATTTGCAACACTTAAAAAAAGGTTAAAAAGGACTAATTTCACAAACAAAAGTCTTTTTAGGCTGAATGATTGTATGTTAATTGTATGATAATATTTTAATTTAACGTCTTTTTATTAAACACGTATAAACTGTTAATGAGTGCGTGCGACCAAAATATACCCAAAACATACAACAATAGACAACTGAGCATAATGCTACTGAATACAGGGCCCGTTCCCATTGCCTCTTTTTAAACTCGAATGCTTTGTAATAGCAGTTAATTTGTTAATTGTAAATATTCATTTTTTTGTCCATATTTATGTGTATACTTACTTTGTTTTCATTTGTAACCTTATTATTGTATTGCAATAAATATTTTTTTATTGTTATTAGAGCTTCTCATCTCAATGTTTTAGTGGATTCTCCTACGCCGTAGCTATACGCTATCTCTTATCATCGTGTATCATGCTTTCACTTCAAGATTTTGAAATATTTTTATCCAAGCAGGTAAATCTCTGTCAGTAGTAAAACCACTTTCCATTAACCAATAAATATATCGGAATTGCAAATGGAATTCAACCAGTTTGTTTACAGGGTGACTGTTAAGTCTTAGTATTCGTACCTTACTAACTATTATAGTCAACCAAATCTAAGAAATACTTTTTGACGTTTCACATTAATCATTCTGCAATAACTTTGCACAAGCGTACGCACATGATTTAAAATAACCTTTTACTTAAATCCGAAGAATTATGAAGTTATCTGTACTTCAATACAACGTGTATAATTTTTTATAACTAACTTAAATTCGAATATTAAAAAAAAATCAAAATATTTAAAAAAAACCAGTATCATCTTTTTTTTGACGTCGTTTCAATGATATGTCGCTATGTACCTTACCGTAGTGCTTGGATATTTAAAATTCATTATTATGCGAATAATCGGCAAAAATATATAAACTAATCGGTAAAAATATTAAAATAATCGATCATTAATGTTTTATATGTGTTGTTTGTTGCATTAAATTTTTATTTTTAAAATTCTTTAAATTACATGAATCATGAATAAAATAAGTTTAATTTTTTTACTTTGTCAACGTTGTGTAGGCAAAAAACTCATATACAAGGCCGCACTGAAAAAAATATTTTTATAAGTGGTAGAGCCATGGTGCAGTTATATTAGAAGTATAGTTGTAGCAGGAATGGGTCGGTTAGACCGGGGAAGGACCACGCTGTCACAGAATACCATCGTCAAATAGTAGCTTAATGCTGCTGTGTTTCGTATGGTGAGTGTAGAGAACCGGAGATCCTTTTTACTGGAAACGAGGAATGCCTCGCATTCCATCTTAGTCCTCACGGGTGAAAACGCATCTGCATTTTGATTCGTAATCGAGGAGAGATGTAGATATCTATGGGCCACAGCAACCACTTACCATCAGATGGACTGTGTGCTCGTTTGTCACCCCATACTATAAAAAAACCACTATGTAATTTCAATCTCCCGACTGTGCGTAATTTTGTGATTTTGTGTTGGTCTTCTTATTATGTGACTTGGATTTAATTTTCTGGACTGTTTCTCCTATGTATATTAGTTGAAGCATTTGCTCATGTCACAAAAGATAATTGGGCAAATGTGGTAGAAAAAAAAAACAAAAATAATGATTATCGATGACTTTTAAAGAGACATTAATTTTGACTTCATTATTGAAAATCAAATAATAATTAATCTAAACAACGACAGCTCAAGAAATTGATTGAATAAATTTATTTTTAATCTAGTTTCAATCTTAAAATTTTATAACTTTGCCCTTAGAAATAAGCAGTAACAACAAATACGAAGAAACTGATAAATCTTGTGTTTTAAATTATCCATTTCTAATGTATTCTGGTATTATTCAAACCAAACTTTAAATGATTACCAACTCTGAATAATCAGTATCGATTTTTTAATAATCGAATATCGTACGTTCCATTTTTTTGTTGACCTGCTTGGTGCAATAAGTCTGACAGCTGTCAAAATGTGCTTCTTAGATTTGGTTGACTATAGTTTTCAATATCTGCGCCACGACTATTTGCAATATAATATAATCATCATTAATTTATATCGAAAACAGATCATTTAATTAAGATATTTAAAATAATGGTGTCACATTTTCTAATCAACAAACTCTAATGTTAGTAGGACTAAAACATGAATATGATACGTTTGTTTGTTTCACATAATAATGTTTTACAAGAAGTGCCTTTTAAATAAAATATAAAACGAGCATTTACCCTTTTAAGGAATGTCTTTGGTTGGTTTTTAGATGGCAATAACAAAAACTAGTAGGGCTGGCGCACGCATTTTACGTGACATTTACAGATTGCTATCGTTTCTCATGCAAATTTTATCTAAGATCTGCAATACGGGTAATGGATGTTTCTTTCAAAGGGATTCGAAAAAAGTCACAATGTATTGTGTATTCTCTAAATTGTGTTTTACGAGTTTCCGATAAAATAAGTTTAATAAGCATAAAGTAAACACCCCAGTTTTGGACAGTTTAAGAAAAAAAATTTGGTGTTTGTGAATTTTTATCAATATCGTGAAAGTTCCAGTACTGAATATACTCAAAGTGTAAAGTCCTGTCCATGGGCAATATTTTTACTGTGTTACGCGTGAGATACTGCATAGCTGGTTTAATTTTTTTAACAATTAAAAATTCTAGTTTTTTACCCAGTCATGGACAGCTAAAAACCAGTTGTGGACATCCAGTAATGAACATAACCTAGTCATGGACATGCAGTGATGAACTTAAACCTAGTCATGGACATCCAATAATGAACTCGAACCTACTCTTATACATTTAGTACCTACTTATGACTACTTTTTTATTATTATGACCTAATCGCAGAATCAATGATGAATGTCAAGAGGTAGATAATTTTAATTATTGAAGTAAAAATAAAATGCAGTAGAATAATATAAATATTTATTTTTATTTTTAACGAACATTTTCTAAATTGACGATGTATTTTTTTCTAAATCGACAATCTGGTTAGCACTAAAGAACTTACCTATCTAAAAGTAATTTACGAACAAAAAATTAATTTTTATCTATATGAGATTTCCGAATATTGAAATAACTTGACGTATTTATTTCAATTTTTTTTATTGAATTTGAAATAAATACTTTTGGTATAAAATGTAACTAAAAATAAATGAGAATTGGAAAGCGGAGGGCGTTGTGCTAGTCACATTTGTACCACTGTCGAGCGAACAGGTTACGTTGACGGGCATAACTAAATCTATACCCTTAGCAACTCTTCCCCTTTCAAAATGTGGGACTGCACACTTATCCTTTACCAGTTCTATTCTAATAAAATTGCTAAAATAACAAGTGATGTTGGGCAATTCCTCAAGATAGAAGCGACTGGAGGCGAATAACTTGACGCCATCCAAATAAAAAAGGTGGGTCACTTTTGTACTTCCTTTCTGAAGCTGAAAT